TGATCTCATCAGATCTTGGAAGCTAAGCGAGGCCAGTCCTGGCAAGTATTTGGATGGGAGACCTCCAAAGAATACCAGGGCCAGGAGGCAGAGACAGGCTATCAAGCCACTTCTCTGAACATCCTCCATGCCCCAGTAGGAGTCACCAGAGGTCGCCATGACTTCCAGGCATGGACATGGTCATACACACACAAAAATGCAAAAATACCCCCAAAAATGTAATGCCAGGTGCAGGAGATATAAACTTTATAAAGGACACAGGCATTTTCTACTCAAAATACCAACATTAACACTCTTACACTCTTAAAGTAGCACCCTGACGCCCACCCTCCCACTTCCACTGCCCATTCCTCATTAGCACTGGGACAGTGTACAGGGGTATAATACACAGCCTCCGTCATCTGGCAATAAAGGTAATGACCAGATGCTCATAGGCCAGATAAGAGCCCTGTCTTCCTTGGGCAGGCCATTCCACAGAGTGGGAGCCACCACCAAGAATGTGGATGAATGGGCAGTTGCTGGTCATATACATTTGCAGGGTGGCACCTTCAGAAGGCTTTATGCAGATGTGTTGTAGTGCAGCATAACAGGAGAGGCAGTCTTGCAATCCAAGGCCATTAAGGGCTTTATAGGTGATAACCAGTGCCTTAAATTGAACCCACTAACTGATCAGTAATCAATTAAGTGACTGCAGAGTGGGTGTGACATACATGTTCCACCTAGTGCCCAATAGTAACTGGGTTGTGGCAATATGCACCAGTGGGCGTTTCAGAGTTAAAGGGCAGACCCCATGTAAAGGGCATTATAATAGCCTTACCTCAAGGTGACCATAGCTTGTATCCGTGTGGCCAGATTAGCCAAATCAAAGTAGAGGACCATCTTCAGAGCTAAATGAAGCTGGAAAAAATGCATTTTTGCAGCTATAACAACTTGCTTTTCTTACAGTAATGCTGGATCCAGTTTGACTCCCAGGGTCTTAACTTAGTTTCAGAGGGTAGCTATGTTGGTCAGCAGTAGAACAGGTAGA